ATCGACCCTAAACAAAACCTAATAAACCCCTACACAAGCTTTAGACCAGGCTAAACCTACCCAAAACCCACCCTAAACCAGGCTAAACCTAAGCGAAACCCACCCTCAGCCAGCCCCAACAACCCTAAACCAACTCTAACCCCCACTAAACCCAGCCAAGACCAAAGCTAAATCCACCCTAAACCCACACCTCATAAACCATCCCAAAACCAAACGCTAAACCAGCCCAAACCTACAGCAGCCCTGAACCAACCCTAAACCAGCCCCAAACCCACCCTAAACCAGCCCTAAACTCACCGTACACCAGCGCACGAAACAATCCCTACCAACCTTAAACCCACTCGAAACCAACCCTAAACCCATCCTAACCCCTAAACCAACCTCAACCATCCCTAGACGTTAAACCCATCCTAAAACCAGCCCTAAACCACCCGAAACCAACCCTGAACCAACCCTGGATCCACCAGCCCACCCCACACCCATTTTAAACCAGCACTAAACCAACCCTGAACCAAGCCAAAACACCCATCCTACAGAAACCCAAGCCCGCCATTGTGCTTGACCAAAAAAGTGAACCCTCTGCGGCTTTTCTGGAGGCGGTCCGAACCTGGGGAAAAAAAGGGCACGCCGAACCCAGGAAACAAAAAACCCTTCCGCCGGTGCCTCTTTTTTGGTGGGGGCCAAGACTCTTGAAATGGCAGGACTGGCTGCCGTACATGATTGTGTGACTCAGCCGCACTTTCTTGTGTCTTGTGTGTGTGTGTGTGTGTTTGTCAAAAGGAAAAACTGAAAGGGTTCCCATCAGGCTGAGCATTGAAGTCATTCTGGTGTCACAGTAGTGTTCCTTTTCACCGTGGAGGGGGTTGATGGTATCTCCCGGCAAGGTGGTTCATTGCGAAGTTCATTGGAAATTTTGTGCTGGAGGACTGTGCCATTCAGAATGGACACACGTGCCCTGCTGGGATTGCTGTGCTAGCTTCCAGCAGTCTCCTCACGCCGCCAGGACGGTTTCCCACTGCTCTTCAACACCTTCAACACAGAGCAGGCGCCCTTCAAATTGCCTGATTTGAAGACGCCTTGATCCTTCCGGCCAGGTGCCAATTTGGGGCGGTCCCGCCAGCACGGATCACCTGGTCTCGTTGCTTGGCTTTAACAGGGGGCGTGAGTAGCATTGGGCAGTTGCGATTCGGACGGGCAATTGGCAGTTGCTGCAATTGACCACAATGATAGAACCCTCCGATCCCTGAGCCAGCCGGCTGCAAGTCGGAGCGGAGGCACGTTGCAATGCTACCGTGGTGCTCAACATGCATGTGTCAAAACGAGGGGCTCCCAAAGCACCGCCGTCTCAAAAGTATCAGTTTGGCGAGCCTTGCAATCTGAGGTTTGCTTACTACACCGCGTTGCTGTGGTTTCCAATGATGGCTTTTGGTGACACCATCAGCCGAAGGGTGCCGCAGTATTTGGACGTCACGCGGCTCGGGCTGGATCTTTGGGCACTATTTCTTGCGGGCCGCAAAACAGCCTCTGAACATGGGTGTGACTTTTCTGGAGTTGGGACCCTTTCAAAGGGAAGAAGCGACACCGCCCATCTTTTTGGTTTTTGGAGGCCCTTTGAATTTGGCCGGGTGGCGCTCCGTTTCCCAGGTCCAACCTCAAGTGCTACTTGCCAGGGCCTCAGCCCTGTCCCCGCGCTTTTCTGGGCTCTAGGGCTCTAGCTCGGCCTTTCTCGGGCTTTCTGGGCTGGTCTTGGAGTCCCGTCTTTCAAAACGCGGCGACCCTGAAGTTGTTTTCCTTTTTGCCGGTTTCCATTTAAACCCCGACAGGGTAGCCCCCAACAGGGTAGCCCCCAACAGGGTACCCCCCAACAGGGTGCCCCCCAACAGGGTACCTCCCCAGAAAAAAAAAAAAAAAACACACACAACTCGCAAGGTACCTTTCGGTCGCCATCGGTATGGCAGTGGTGGGCGAGGCTGGCTTTTTGCTGATTGCTCAGCCGGGTATGGACGTGCCCAGCTGAATACTTGGTCACAGTACATTTGTGTTGGCCTTACCGACCCAGACCAACTCCAACAAAGACAAACCAAATGAGTAATGTCCACCTGGGAATAGTAAACGGGGGTCCCCCCCCCCCCCAACGATGGGGTCACCTGGAATAGTATGTTGAGATCCAGTTCAAGTGAGTTTCCATTTGATTTAGTATTGGCAGACTTGAGTTTCCATTTGATTTAGTATTGCTGGAGCTTCCTTTTGAGATTTGGAACTGAGTTTCCATTTGATCTAGTATTGCTGGAGCTTCCTTTTGAGATTTGGAACTGCGTTTCCATTTGATTCAGTATTGCTGGAGCTTCCTTTTGAGATTTGGAACTGAGTTTCCATTTGATTTAGTATCGGTAGACTTGAGTGTCCATTTGATTTAGTATTGCTGGAGCTTCCTTTTGTTTTTCTTGGGGGGGCCAGGCAACAAGACTTTATTTCGGGGTCCCCTGAAATAATGTCACGTTGGGGGCTGAAGTACTACCCCCTTTGTGGGTTTGATTGTTTGCAGGTTTTAAACAAGAGACATGTAAGAAAACATGGGTTTGGTAAAGCTGACAATTTTGGAATTGAGGAGCAGGCCCAAATCTAACAACACAGCATGAAGCACTGCCAGCCTCACCTCGGCTGTCTAACTACTTGACTAGCTAAGAGGCAATTGCACTGGGCAGGTTGTATTTTTCAGGGGGCCAGGCAACAAGACTTTATTTCGGGGGCCCCTGAAATAATGTCAAGTTGGGGCTGAAGTACTACCCCCTTTGTGGGTTTGATTGTGGGCAGGTTTTAAACAAGAGACATGTAAGAAAACATGGGTTTGGTAAAGCTGACAGTTTTGGATTTAAGGAACAAGGTACCAAAGATCCAAGGACCAGGGGTGGCTATCTCTCCTCTCCTTCCTGTCCTTTCTCTCTTTCTCTCTTCTATTTTTTTACTTTTTGTGTGACTTTTTTTGGGGGGGACATTTTTTTTCATGGGCGGGGGGGGGGGGGGGGGCAGGGGCGTGTCTTTATTCCAGGTGCATTTACTAATATTTTTGGGCCCCCCATTTGTCTTTATTGCAGGTGCATTTATAAATCCCACGTGGACATTATTGAGGCGGTGTCCAATCGGGGCAAACCCTTGGGTCTTGTCAGCTTCAATCAGCTCTTGTTTGACCAACCTCCTCTTTTGCGTTGCCCCTCCCAAGGACACTGGTAGAAGCGACCACATCTTTCCAACGATTAAGCGAGCAACACCTGGTAAACGGCTGGCAAGGGGACCGCCCCGAACTGTCAACCACAGATGTTGACTGAGCCTCTATTGGGGGAGGGTTTATTATTTTGAAGGGAGAACCAAAGGAACTCCGAAGCCTCTTTGTTTCTTTTGTTGTTGTTGTTTTTTCTTGGGGGGGGAGGGGGCCGAGTCCCGTTTTTTGAGGAGCCATGCCATGCCCAGGCCATGAACTTCCTGCTGCTGGCGCTGGTCACCGCCGTGGCGCGGAGCCACGGATCCACTAGGTGGCGCTCGACCGATGGACGCGCCATTTACTTGGACCCAGCGGGTTGAATTGGAGCTCGCGAATGCCCGGCGCGCGCCTGAGGCCGCCTTTATCGCGAACTTTGGGAACGGCCTGATCTACGGCTTGTGCTTTGGCAAGCTCAGGAAAATTTATCGTTTGAGAGCGATGGAGTACAGATCACGTGGCGCATGATTTTGGACGATTGGGTTTTGGTGCTACTTTCTGTGATACCAACGGAATCCCGAACAAGTGTTGACCGAGTCACGGGGATGGCTCACTTTGGCATCACGTGGAAAGTTGGGTTCTTCAACCACCTTCTTGCGTATTGCACACCTTGTTTGCAGTGATCAGGGCGGCTGGCTGAATGGACATCCCAGGTCTGCCAAGTTCATCGATTGGAAGCTTCCGGAGGAGCATAGATACGCAGCGTACAACTTGCGCCTTGTCAGTGCTATTTTCCTCCGCCTCTCTCTCTCTCTCTGTCTCTGTGTTCCAGCGTAAGCTTTGACCGTTGCAGTGACTCTTTCAAATGCCAAGCACTATCCCAATAGTCAGCTTTCGAGATTCTTGCGCTTGGGGTTCCTTTGCGAGATGAGCCCTGGGTCTTTTCCTGACTCAGGTGGTGTTTCATCGGAGATATCGGTGGCTACGTGGGACAGGGCGCGCTCTCCGCAGCTTGGCCTTGTTGCCATTGAAGGGACACAGATTCAGAAGGACAGGCCATTAAAAGGGCTCCTGGGTCTGCGAGCAGTGGTTTGGACAAGGATTCTACCATAAACTGTGTCGTAGAGCCAACCGCCCATGGGTCGTGAGTGCTGAGCGCTCACGTTGAGGTCGCGCTTGCCAATCACGCATGCGATGGCCGGCACTACGAGTATGTGTGCAACGCTAACAGCCGGCTGCTTTGAGACCGAATCCAACAGAACGAGCCGGCAGGACATGGCGATGTCGGCTCCAACGCAAGGGCCAGCGCCATCAGATTTTCCAGTCCAAGCTCGTGGATTACATGGAGAATGCACAATGTCATGCTCGCATGTAGAGTCCAGGTGCCTCAGCAAAGATCAAGAACACTCAGGGCTCTCGGCACTCAGCACTTGTCATCCAGAATCCAGCTGTCACACGAACAAGAACCACCACAGCAGTGAACAAATGTGAATGCTTATTTGGACTCTGCAATGCACTTCGCACAGGATGCCATTTCGGCTCCGTCCAAAAAGATGGGACCCCTGAGCGGAGAAGGCGCAATCGATTGCCGACTGGCCAATGGATGAAAGTGTGGAGAGAAAGCTTTGTGACTGTCGCGAAGCCGATTGCAGCCGCCCTCACCCCTGACTTTGCAGGAGATTGCCCTCTCTCGGTTTGTTCGCTAAAGCTATGGTCAATAGGCGCTGTAAACTGTTTTCACAGAATGAGTCACTCCCAGCGGCGATGACTGTAGCTCATGTAGCCGCTGCACTCTGCTTTTGAGGCCCTTGCACAGAGCGGCAGCTGCTGGCAATGGGGAGGTAGGGGTAGCTGCGAGAGTGCGCACAGCACGCTTGAGAGAATCACTTGCAAGAATCTCAACCTGTTCTGAACACTCTTGCGCCAGACTGCACCTGCTGCTAGCGGTTCCGCAGTTTTCAGAGTTACATTGACATTCGTGTCGACTGTTGAGATGTGGGGGTTGATCAAACGGTCCTTTACATGATAATTTACATGGGATGACCATTGGGGAAAACACGCAAAACATGATACTTGCCACTAAATGGGAACACATTCGCATGGTCACTTGGGGGCCAGGAATATAGATCAACCCAATGTGTTGAATGCTCTAAACGCTTCCAACATAAAGCATACCGTTGCAAATGGAAAAAATAGACTGTTTGAGCCCGCAAACCAGGGTAGGGCCACCCCGTATTTTAAACATGTCCAAAATAGGTCTAAAGCTCTGGTTTTCGCCCATTTTCTGCCGCCCACCAAAACCGGCGCGTTGCCTCCGAGCAGTCTGATCGTAGCGACAGCGACAGATCTGCTTGGAGCTCTGCAAGCGGAAAGAGTGCCGCATCGGGCTGAAGGACCGAGACGGGCGCACGGCACTGCAGGCGACGCGAGAAGCGCCGGCGAGGGGGGATGTCGAGCTCTTTTTTTTATTTGCGAATACGTCTTCTCTTTGGGCGAATAGCTTTTGTTTGCTTCTTTTTGTGCTTGTGGAACACAACGCCACCTTTTTGGAAGGCGATTTTTTGTCTGGTTTTGTTTTGGGGTTGACGTTTATAGGTTGGAAAAGAACTGCGAGGGAGCGAGGGCCCCCAAGGCCAAAGCTCGCGGAGTGTCAGAGACTGCGGAAGGGGCTAGGGTTCACTCCGAAAGGAATTTCAGCCCAACGAATACGCCGTAAGCGCTAGGTGGCCAAGCACTGGGGCTTCAGTGCTGCTGCTGACGCCATCTTTAGGGCATCTGCCTTGGAGGGGTGGGTCTCGGATTCGAAACTCAGAAAACTGCAAACCACTGGCCGTCCACAAAGGGCCGGCTGTTGCCAATGATGGTCTTCTCTTGTTTCACATGGCCTGTGCCTGGTGATGTCCCTGGCAGCATAGTTCATGTTGGACATTTTCTTTGTTCATTTCGGCTCAGATTGAACAGGGACGGAGTGCAAGGCTCTTCCAGCCTCGGCTGCTGTTTAGAGCGGCTTTCCACACGCATGCGCCCGTTGCTCCGTCTTGCATGTTGTTGATTCACACATTCAGCGCCCACGAGAATGCAGGAACCCCAGCCCATTGCCTTAGCCGCCTTACCACAGCCCACCCAACCAGCCACTAGACAGGCGCCCTGCACACAAGCAGTTGCGCTCCCGTCCGATGGCTTCCTCCTGGAGTGTGGACGGCTGCTGCCCAGGCAAGCGGTGTGCCTCACTGCATGCATTGCGCGGGTGCGCTGTACTTACTTCCTGACTGTGACGTAACCTGAGCCGAACCAGTCAACCAACCAGTTGGAGCATTTGGCACAGGTCACTCTGCGTGCACGAGCTTAGCAGATCTACAGTCGAACTTCCGGCACGTTTGGCTGAGGGAATGACGTGCCGAACTTCGGGATGTCTCGTTTTGGAGGGCGCCCTTCTTGAGAAGAAAGGCCAATGGGAAATCTGCGGTTTTTAGAGGTTTTTCAGGTTGGTTTGGCAGCATGTAACCTGCGGTTCATTGATTGGAACCCGCGCATTGCATAGATTGGACCATTCCCCAACTCAAGCCTCGTGCGGGGTGGCCGCAACCATGTTGCATAAGTGAGCCTATTGAATGAATCTCATATTACCATTTATAGCCAAGATGTTGCCTCTACACAGCCCTGGGCGCCTGACCAGGTTCCAATCTTGAAATGTACCTGGGCGGATTTGTTTCGTCAGGTGCTTGGTACAATTTAAGACGGAGCTCCTGCAATTCCGGGACTGCAAGGGGCTGCTTGGGCCCGGGCGCGGCGACACCTGAGATTTTAATCCAGTCCGACTTCCTATGGCCATGGTGATATTCCAGACATCAAGCAAGTGTCACCTGAGCCACAATCAAAACCCGGGCAGACGAAGGTTAGTAAGCTGCCTTCTTAAGTCTTTACATGGGTCTGGGTAGACCATTTTAATACCGGGTTTTGATTATGACTCACCTTGGCATTGGGCTTGGGTCAACTGAAGCGCTTCAGCCAAGCCAAAAGCGGTCGCGATGCAGGAGCTCCGCCTCCGGAGACAAAGCAGTTTTCGCAACTTCTTGGAGGAGGCAGGGTGGGCGAAGGAAGAACTGGGCATGCGCGGGTCTTCATATTGTCCCCCTTTTGTGTCGTTTTGAGTATCACTTTTTGGGCCCATTCAAGGGAAGGGGTGGCTTTTGGGTTTCGCAGTCCTCGAACTACAGGCGTCAGGAAGACAAAGAGAATCCAAAAGCCGTTTCGCATGGCAGACCCGGCACTTGAAATGTCCATGGGCAGAGATCGGAGTATTGACTACATCTTCTGCCAGGCCGCAGTCGTTGCGGCGAGTGAAAAGGCTAGCCAGGAGGCAGGTTGGTCAGGGTCTGCTGGCAGAAAAAGGCCGTATGGTTTTTGTCTTTTGGCCTTTGCAGCGTTCCTTTGGGCCATCCTGAGCGTGTTCTGAGGGTTCCTAAGTGCTTGCACAAACGCTACAAGTTCCACAGTTTTTGGAGGATGCTTGAGATCTCGCCTCCAGGGCAGTCCGACCAGGACCATGCCCATCTCTCCCGCAGGTGGGACCGTATGCCTTAGTGCGCGACTGCAAAGGGCCCAACCGCAGCCCAAAACAACCTGGACCTGACTAAGCCTCGAATGATTCGCGGAGCAAGTGGTGTTCGGCGTCTGGTGATTTGTTCATCTTTTGGCCGACCCATGGCCCGCCTGTTTAGGATTGGGCCAGATAGGTTTTGCATGTAGCCCGGGGATAGTTTGCCGAGTATTCGAAAGGTGCAGTGGACTCGGCGATCGTGGAGGAGATGCTCGCAAGATACGACCAGCATTCACTCGAGCCCCAGAATTGTTGCCAATTTGGAACGGAGTTCTCTCCCTAGTGGGACTATCATTTTGTTGTAGGAGGGGGAAGCAACCAGCCAGATTGGGCTTGGACCCAACAAGTGGATGGTTTTCGGGCCACGGCTGCATGCTTCAAGCATGTTTTCTGCCAGGACTCTGACTGCGAGACGGACCCTGGCATGCTCCTGCCTTGATGCTGTTAGACTCGCCTCTGCGCACAGGCAGATACATCCCCAGTCAATGGTTGTGGAATCATTGGCGCAAAATAGAACGACGGTCGGAACTCAGTGTGCTAACTTTCAGAGGATCATTCACTGCATTTAGGCCAGAGTTGCAGCCGCTGACTCCCAGACCTGTTGCAGAGGCTACGGGGTTGAGCAGCCTTCGATTATCCCCGAATGTGACTCTGGCTTTTGGGCTTAACCAAATTTATCGGGTTTGGATTGGTAACACATAGGCAAGCTGCAGCAAAGGCGCTAAACTCCTTCGGGTGTTGCTCCGTCAGATGAGACTCGAAGCCCTTGCCAAACAACAGAGAAGGGGAGTCGTCACTTATTTCCCCGCTTCAATTTTAGGTCTTGGCTTCAGTCAAGCGTGCTCGATGCAGTCCCTCTGGCACAGGTCAAGTCGCCGAAGATGGATTGTCGGGGACCTGGCCGGCCCTGCACGGCTCGTGTCCTATGAAAGCCGTGCCTTTCAAGCCTCCAACACTTGGTGTGTGGCTTGGTGTGGCAAGAAAACACGTTGTTGATTGCGCGGCACAATATGAGACTCTCCAGCAACCTGGATTCGGTTGCAAGTTCAGAAGGCGTGGGCCAATTCGCGAAAATCTCTCCGCCCAGTATCGCCCAGCGACAGCGACGGCCAAAGCCCACACAGGCGCAAGTGCAATGTGTGCGTGGACGCGTGTGTATCTTGAATTTGCTTCCGTGTGGATGCCAGGACATGTTGGCTTGAATGCAACTGGCATGCCCATGCTACATGCACAGCATGCACTGCACGGGCAGGCTTGATGGCGGGGGCGACTTCAACAAGTGCTGGGGGAGGCCTCCAAAGCCAAGATTTGCGCTCTCCACTTTCGGCTGATCTCCCGGATGTCTTTTTTGAGTGCGCTGACTGCCGCAGGGGCGCTCTTAAGGACGCTTTGAAGGGCCGAGACCTAAGAGGCGGCAGGGTTTGATTGGATGCAGCGCTGTGCTGTGAGGAATGGATGCGAGTTGAGGCAGGCTTGGCAAGCGAGAGGAAAGGGGCTCAACGGATTGGGCCACGGGGTCAAGTTGGAGTCTGGATGGGGTTGATGGAAGATGTTCGAACCACGAACCATATCGGTTTGGTCTTGCAGCTTTGTGGGCACTTCTGCATGCCGCGTCCACCTGAGAACGACGGCCTGGAACTGGTGGGGATGGCAATTGATCGGGTGATCCGGGCTGGTGCTGGCTGCAGCAAGTCTCCTCCAGATAAACTTTCAGGGCACCATGGATTTCCGTTGCGGCTGTGCTTCTGGCAGTTCGAATTCTGAGAAGTGAAGCGCCATATTTGTGCCAATGCAGGCCAAGCTCGCGGCACTTCTCCGTGGATGCAGAGTCTTCGAGTCTTCAACGGGGTGGCAGAATGCCAGCCTGTTGCAACGATGCTTTGGTTGTGGAGAGGTGAAGCCGCGAGCCATCCACAGATCAAAGTGGACATGTATGTATTTGAAATGGCTGTGCATCTTAGTTTTGAGATGCTGTTGAAAGAAACTCAATGTGAATGCATCGTCGCGGCTGCTTTCGTGACCAGATGGCTCCATCGCTTCTCTTGGGCCAAGTGGCTGAGTTTGCCTTCTGAGTTCCCATTCTGGCCCGCAGGGACGCTTTTCCCCCCCACAACCAGCAAGGAAGCGGCTTGAAAGGGCGCCTGCCTTGTCACACGGTATTGGATTGAAGCACACCAGCGGTACGAAGGGGTAACACACATGCTGCGAACAGGGAGGCTTGTTCTTGCAAGAGATGGCATCCTCAAACCAAGCCTCGATCCGTGTACAGCTCTTCTCGTGGACACAGGGCTGCATTCCCCGCGGGGCACAGCTGCAGCTTGTCCCAACTGGACCCACACAACGCTCCATGTGAAGCTGTGTTGCGAGATTGGAAGCAAGACCCGCTTGGGGGGAGAATCGTCAATGTGTTTGGTTGTTGGCATCGCATCACGTTGAGGTATTTGCCAGCTTAGGCCTGTGCTCGGAGTGGGTGTGCGCAAAGGAGCAACACAAACGCCTTGCAGTGACGACTGCAGGCGTGCGTGCGTGCGTGCGTGCGTGCGTGCGTGCGTGCGTGCGTGGGTGCGTGCGTGCGTGCGTGCGTGCGTGCGTGCGTGCGTGCGTGTGTGGGTGGGTGGGTGGGTGGGTGCGTGCGTGCGCGCGTGCGTGCGTGCGTGCGTGCGTGGGTGTGTGTGTGTATCTTAGAAGAGAGTCCCTCTCCTTGGCCTTCCCTGGAACCAGAATGAAACCAACAAGCACGGTCCCCGCCGCACGCTTCGATACAAATCGGTTCTGAGGTGATAACGCAGCTTCCCCCGTGAGCGGTGGGTCCCCTCAGACGAGTCTTCTTTTGACCAACACACGGCCCTGATATGGTGCGCACATGGAAACATAGCTTCAAGGCCACTTGGCTGAGGGGTTTATTCAGATCAATGTGGAATCACCTGCTTTCCCTATCGTTTGCATGGATGGTTCTCTATCTTCTGCATGGATGATGCAGATGATAGAACGTTTGGTGAGGAGGCTTTCTCCGGAATCGGTTGGAGCCACCTCGGCAGCATGGCGCTGCTAATCTAAGCCAAAATGACCTGGGCAGGAAAAGTGTGCGCTCACATCATTCACAGACTCATGGTGCATATGGCTTAGGGGCCAGATGGCATGCCCACGGGACATGGTGCATTTGGCTTAGGCGATCAACCCTTTGCCTGAGCCCAGGCCTCAGGATTTTTCGGAGAGATCTCCGCTGCTTGTTTGGTCACAAATGTCCAGTTCTGTCTATGGTCCATTTGGAAGGGGACATGGGGGAACTCGCTAAATTGCCCGCAAGGGGGCTCGCTACTTTTCCTCTTGGGGCAAGAGCGTGGCTCATCCATTTCGCAAGCTTCAGGCTGCAAATGCAGGTCAAGCCACCCGAACCGGAAGAGGAGCCATGACTTGAGCTGGAAATTGCATGCCGTGTGCTTTCTGGAGAACCTGGGGCCGAGGCTCGGATGCTTCAAGGTTTCACTGTGCAAGAGGGGCAGCTTCTCCTTGGGTGCCTGCCACACAAAGGGCCCTGTGAGCGAAGTTGCCGTGATGTCCCCGGCTTGCTTCTCTGCTCCGGGTAGCATGGGCGCCCTGTGGCACCCTTCGGCTCGTGACCGACTTGGTTGTTCTGCCGACTGCATGTTTCAGGAGCACGCGCCGGAAGAGACACAGGCAGGTCGATGTGGACACACACCAGCGCGTGTGTGACCATCTGAGGAAAGGGTTGTTGTTTCTCTCGTAGTCAGTGCCGGCGCTTGCTTTTGGTATTAGTCCCCAAGTAATGTTTTGTGGGCCCTCAGTTGCTATCGGGGTGGACTCGCCGATCTTGATGTGGAAAACAGGCTTGCCCTGTGGTTGTGTGTTTCCATCGCCTCTCATCCCGTCAGCACGGTTTAACAGCGATGTTCCGCTGCGCGGTCTCAGCGTGCAGGACATTGATTTGCACACTTTGATGTGCGCATTTGCATTAACTGTGCTGAAAGTTCATTTGGACCTTGAATTGCTGTTTGGTTTGGTGTAATGGCTGTGTTGATCAAACCACGTCCTGCAAAACAATAACTCATCCCTAGTCATCACACATCGCAGTGCTCTCACTGGGTTGCAAGGGTGGGCTTGAAAGTGCATGCGCGCGTGTCTTGTCCCTGCCAGGTGATTGATTTGTGTCATTGGTTGAAAGTTGCAGGAAAGACCGTTTAATTTCCTCCACTCCTTTCTTTCGCCACAAGCCCCGGTGTGTTGCCAAGGCAAAGCGTGGCATGTGGGGACCTGAGCGCTTGCCAAGCATCTCTATGAGTGACCATCTTTTTTGTTTGTTTTCGTGCTTGAGGGTCTCCCAAGCTTGACATGTGCTTAGTTTGTTGGTGGCCGTGCGCACAGACATAGCTGAAGCTAACGATTTTGCCCAGTTTGCAGCTTGGGAGTTCAATGTCTTACGGCTGCCATGGGATCAGTTCAGACGCATGTTCGCTTCCTGTGTCTTCACCGTCTCTAGCTTTCCGTTCAACTTTGGGAGCTGGAGCAGCTTTCCTTGACCTCTGGGCGCCTGACCGAGCAGGCCGTCTTGTTTGGGAGCCATTCAGTGCGAGCGTGCCGGACATTTTATGCAGAGCATGAATATTAGCAGACTCAGATGTTTGGGTCTGAGGGAATATGTAGCGTGGCTTGAGGCTGAAACCAAAGAAGAGTGCCAAGGAGAGCCGAGCTTCATTTGCAAGCAAGCCAGCAAGCCGAGAGCTTGAAAACAAATCACCGAGAACATGTCGCACGCCCCGTATGAGCCTAATAAAATGAACTTGTAAGGCCGAGGAATGATTCCCTTGCATCATTTCTGGCTTGCCGCACACCATTTTTTTGTTGGGCGGTTTTGAATCGATAGCACGGGAAGGCGCACAGTTTTTTGTTAGGCAAGGGGTTCCCGACTTCCCATTTGCCGTGCATTATCCAGGACAAGCGGCCGTCTTCCACTGCCTCGTCGCAGGACAGCGCGTTTGTTTTGTCGGCGGCTGGTTCAGCAAAATCGTTTCAGGAAAGTATGGGGAATGACCCCATACCAACCACCAGTGGGCCTTTGGACTAGGGTCTGGATATCCAGACCCGAAGTGACCAAGTGTTGCAGCTTGGTGCTCACATAGAATCAATGCCAGTTTCAGCATGGGCCTGCCTTCGGGCCTCCCGTTTTGGTACCTCTATGTCAATTCCTTTGTATAAAGAACAGGTGACGTCCGTGAAGCAAGGGTTGTCTGCAGGATCGTCCTTCGTCATCACAGGCGTGCAGAGTAACGATTTGCGTTGCGAGTGTCATGCAAATGTACACAATATAGTGTGTATATATATATATATATATATTAATATACATGTATATATGAAACACGTGTTTGTGCGCGTATCTTTCTTGTGATGTGAATTTCTGTGTGTGTGTGGGTGTGTATTTTTGTGTGTGCGATTTTGTTTTGTTTGTTTGTCTGCCTGTTTGCTTGTTTGCTTGTTTGTTTGGTTGTGTGCTTGCTTGCTGGCTTGCTTGCTTGCTTGCTTGCTGGCTGGCTGGCTGGCTGGCTGGCTGGCTGGCTGGCTGGGTGGCTGGCTGGCTTGCTGGCGGCTGGCTGGCTGGCTGGCTGGCTGGCTGGCTGGCTGGCTGGCTGGCTTGCCCTGCTGGCTGACTGGCTGGCTGGCTGGCTGGCTGGCTGGCTGGCTGGCTGGCTGGCTTGCTTGCTTGCTTGCTTGCTTGCTTGCTTGCTTGCTTGCTTGCTTGCTTGCTTGCTTGCTTGCTTGCTTGCTTGTTGTTTCCTTATGTTTGCTTTCTTTCTTGATTTATGTCCTTCCTTTCCTTTCCTTTCCTTTCCTTTCCTTTCCTTTCCTTTCCTTTCCTTTCCTTTCCTTTCCTTTCCTTTCCTTTCCTTTCCTTTCCTTTCCTTTCCTTTCCTTTCCTTTCCTTTCCTTTCCTTCCTTCCTTCCTTCTTTCCTTCTTTCCTTCTGTCCTTCTATCCTTCTTTCTTTCTTTCTTTCCTTCTTTCCTTCTGTCCTTCTTTCTTTCTTTCTTTCTTTCTTTCTTTCTTTCTTTCTTTCTTTCTTTCTTGCTTTCCTTCATTTGTTTCTTTCTTTCCTTCCTTCTTTCTCTCTACGCGTGTGCATTTGTTTGAATCTTTGCGTGTTGGCCTTTGTGTGTGTGTGTGTGGTGTGTGTCTTTGACGGGTTTTTGAATATCTGCTTGTCTGAACTGCTAGTGAGCTGGACCGGTGGAAGACTCCCCGAGGCAAGTCCTTCAAGTCGGCCATCCGTCGGCCTCACTCCGGAGCGGGAGCAGGTAGAGAGCAATGGACCATGTTCCTAAGATACTCTGACCATTTGTGTCGTCAACTCGCCAGCAAAGGTGAAGGAACAACACATACATGTGAACTGGTTTGCCCTTGGCTCTTGTGCCCTGCCAAATGGGGACATTGGCGCCTCTCTGAGTGGTTGGGAACGCAACGGGCCTCCAAAAAGCGATGAAGCCAACCCGACGTGAGCCACCAACAAAATCTAGGTGAAGAACATGAAGAGAGGCAGCTGCGGCTGCTGTTGTAATTCTTTGCCTGGTTTTGGATAGTCTCCTTCAATACGAGGATCGGATTATGACTCAAAGGATCAATCCGCTTCATCAATAGTGGTCATTTCCGAAAGCGATTCCCACTTTCGTGGGAAGCTCCCGATGTGTTCCCAACAAGGCGGTTTTGAAGATCACCTTGGCCAATTCAAAGTGCGCTTCCCTTGCCGAACATGATGCTTACGCGATACACATTGACCTTGTGGTGACCCGCCACCTCATTCATTTGCTTCCCTGGTGATCCTATTCGTACAGGTTGGCGATCCTCTTCAGACAGGTTGTCCAGGGGAGTGCTGGTGTGATGCTACAGTCCATGCAAGCTCAACCCTTTTGGGGGTTGCCGTTGTCGATGGCATGGCTATGGGTTGCCTTAAAATATGTTCAAAATACGTGACCCTTTACCGCCACAATTGCACAAGGACTGCTGCTCTGTACCAGCACAAAGACCACTGCCTTCTCTTACGGTGAGTTTGGAAGAATGCTCCTGATTCTGCCGCCCGGGCTTCAAGTTGGAAAAAAAAAAGACTCACGGCCTTGCAGAGAGAATAGGAGCAAGGCCTTTGGCAGGACCGTGGCGAGCGTCGGCGCTCCTCCGGGATGTCTAGACAGAGTTCGCGCGGAGAGGAGCCCCGGACTCCACACCAGATGTTCACCATGCTCAGCGATGTAAATATATTTTTCCCCAATGACTCCGTGACGGGTTTGCAGCAATCCTGGGCCTCGTTGGGTCACCTCCCAAGTCAGCGAGTTCCTTGCCTGGCAGGAAGGACCCAAGTTTCCGTCCAAAGATGCAAGCAGCTGGCCTGTCCGCTGTTATTCACTCAAGTCCTTAAATACCCTAGAGGAAAATCGGGATAGGTACCCTTCATGCAATGGGCCACGGACATTCTTGTCTGTAACCAAGCCTCTGATTCTGAGAAATGGCACCAGGACCGCAAGCGCGGTAGCCTGGGGCGAGGAGAGGCCGGATCCTCTGGGCTTGCGCAAAGAATGGATTGGGCACCGTGGCCACCGGAGGTGCTTCGTTATCTTGTACTCCAGTCGGCAGAGGGGAGGTGCTCGAAGGGGTTAGCCTCAAAGGAATACGCATAAAATAAGTTCTAGTGGCCGACTGCCCGCCCTTTCCCCATTTGACCAACACGGCGGTTCTGCGCGCCCTTTCCCCCGTGCCAGTCCAAGCGGCTTTCTGCCGCGAGCTCGCAGGAGAGGGCACTAAAAGAAGGGGATTGGCGAACTGCACATCAATGGTTGGTCAATCTGAACCGCAGCCAGAAGCACCCAGCTCATTTTGTTTGGGCCAGTGAAGTTGGGGGCATCGTTTGCAGTGCCCAGGTTGAAAAAACACGCGTATACTTCTTTTCCCATGAGAGTCCAATCAAGCGAAATCCTCATGGCTCAATCTGGGATTGCTTGGGGACTTTGGTGGGCATCAATTATATTTGGCTTCACATGTTTTTGACCGGGGCCTGTCAAACACATGTCGAAAGCACCAATACTGGGAAGTCGTAATGCCTCTGACATTGTTCTTGGCTCGCAACAGTGACTTTGCATAACCAGGTGGAACCCTCTTCTTCCACTCGCAGACCTTTCTTTCGCTTTATCTTTTGGTTTATGGGCCCTGTGATTTGGGGTTGACCAAACAGATTGCGGTCCCCCGCATAGCTGGGGTTCTGGACTTGTCCGCCACAGGGGAAGCTTGGACGTTTGGGCTCTAAGTCCTCTACGACATCTCAGGAGCCGGGGCCTGGTCTAGCCTTTACGGCCGATCTGAGATTGGTTCTCAGTCACAATATCAAGGGAACTGCATATTGTGATCCTGGCTCAGAGATGGGCGCATGTGTGATGTGAGGCTTGGTTGCCGGTCAGCTGGCCAGTGGATGTTTGGGGGTTATTGCTTTGAATTCTAAAGACAGTGTGGTTTCCGTGCGTTTTGGTCTCCTGCTGTTGCGTCATCTGGTTTTTCTTTCGGCATGGTCTGTTGTCCAGGGTGCAAAAGAACAAACCACTGTTTCCTCATTTGGGGATCAACATGGGACGTTTTTGCAAGGCATGATAGGGAAGCCAAAAGGAAGCTGACTGCAGGAGAAGGGGCGCCCACGCTCAAGGGGATCGGTGATCTCGCAGGTGTCGCAGGTCCGTGACCCGCTTCCCGCATATTCCTTTGAAAGCTACCTCTCTTTCAAGTTCCTTCTAGCACGTTTGGGTTTTTGAGAGGGCACACGGATTGAAGGCCTCGTGGCTGAAACTAGAACAAAGGGGCAAGTAGACCCAACAGACTTTTTTGACCAACATTCGAGCAGCCTCTCTCTCTCTCTCTCTCTCTCTCTCTCTCTCTCTCTCTCTCAACTCTCTCTCTCTCTCTCTCTCTATTTGTCTGGCTCATTGTCACGAGCGGCGCATGCGAAGTCATGACTGCATTGTCCTGCCATGTTTGCCAGGGTGAAGTGAATCCGTTCGAGCCGAGCTGGCGACCCAGTTTTGGCCAGGTCCGTGTGGGTCAGGCTAAGTTGAACTAGAATGGAGTTGACCCGTGAAGGCATTTGACTGTTATGCCAGAAGATGGGGACCTCACCTGGCAAAAGGACACGTGAACAATTGGCATTGCGGTAGATTTGTGCCGATTCTGACCCACGGCTCCCACAACTCGGATGCATACGTTTCGGGCTTCAAGCGAGGGGTTTGCTAAAGAACTTGGGGTGGGTTCCCAGGTCTTGAAGAGGAGGCTGGAGCCTGCAGGGTATGCCATGTTAATCAGAGCCAGGCTACGAAATGCTTATGGGGACAGCTAGGATTGTAAATGTCATGATGCCCATGGCATGTTGGCACAAGATTTCTGTCGTAAGCCCGCTACGCTTGCTTTGCAGCCAGGAAAGTGCTGGCCTGGATGAAACCACCACAGAGGCAGGAGACGGACTGCATTCAGCATGTCCTGTCCTGTCATTGCCTTGTCACGTTGCCAAAGCGTGAGGTGCCAGATGGTCCGGAGATGTCCGCAGGCGGCGAGGCAGGTTGAGATGTTTGCACGTGTGGCAAAGCATCAGACGCTCGCGTCCAGCCTTCCGTTCTGATTCCGCAGACTCGATTCTCGAGTTGCAGTCAGGATAGCCCAGCTGCCGAGGGCGAAGGTAACGAAGGCGAAGGCTCACGTCGCGAGCCGAAGGCTGGGCCAGTGGGAGACCGTGCCAACCGAAGCAGGTCCGCCACGGCCGCCCCTGCCAGAGGACATTGGCTACCAGGCAGGCTTCCAAGCTGCCGGGACACCCAAAAGTGTGGGGCACTGGAGGATCACGGTGGCCCGTTTTTGTTTTTTTTCTCCACGCTCCGAGGGGCGTAAATTGGGCTGCTGGCTGCTATCGCATAATGCACGACTTTCGAGAACGCATCCTTTACTCTTGGCTTCTGCATATCATTGGTCTTTGGACAAATCCGAACCCTAAGAATTCATGACGTGTTGCGTGTGGCTTCTGCCAACTGTTGTATTTGCGTCCGCTGTTACCACCTGCCTACGTTTCCTTTGTTACAGTTGCCGCGCTGTCTCTTTCCTGTCACGTGGACGATGTAGACGCCTGCCTTTAAGTCCACCCCCCCTCCAACAATGGTGGATTTGCCCCCCGTCAGCTTTCATGATTGTTGAAAAAAAAAGCATACATTTGTTTTGCTCAACAGCAATGGCAAGGCTTTGTGAACTTCGTTGAGTCATCCAAGTTGACCTTAGGGAGAGCGTGTTTTTGCAGCTCCAGGGCATCAGTTTTTTGCCCAATGCTCAAGCCGCGAAAAGTTGGGCTACGTTGCACGGGATGCTTAGCACCAGCCTATCCTTCCTTTGGGCGAGTCGAAGGCCCGGGCGGGTTTGTTCTTTGAAGGTACCCGTCTGTGGGATTGTGTTAAAGTGAAACCAAAGGGAAACCATCTGTGCATGTTCAAAACAGGGGACGGCTTTTGAGATTTCCATATGGCTGTGGGTCAAAACCCTGTACCCCTGGTGAACATGAAAATAGGTGGCAAATGGATTGCTGATGTTCATACCATATCCTCTCCCCAAAAGGGGTATATACCCCTTATAAAGCGGTTTGGGAAACCACGAAGCCAAGGAACCGGTATGAACAAGGAACCGGTATGTACTTCCACCCGATTATCAGTTTTCTGAGGTCGCGGAGAACCGTGTAGCAGATGCGGTGGCTCTGGCCATGAGCCCCTTCTGGCCCTTCACCAATGAGCTGGCGGGGTCAGGGGAGCCACAATCAAAACCCGGGTAGATGAGGGGTAGTTGGGCGTGTCTTAAAATTGGCGGACCCCTCGGAATCCGTTTGGTTTCCCTTCAACCTAATCAAACAAAAGTGCCATATGCAAAGCACACCCAGTCAGGGGCAGCCCCCCCTTCTTTGCACCACCCCCCCCCCTTAGGAGTGGAACCAGTCAGCTGGACCCTCTTTAGGGATAGTCCTGGGGGTCTGGGAGGGGCAGTTACTTTAGGCTTGCCAATTCCAAAAGGGTTAGACGGACCCCAACACACTCACATTGAAGCGGATCAGGGCTATTTGTGGGCAACTGCCTTTTTGTGACTGTTTGCCCTTACTCTTCTTTTATTTAAATAAAATAAAATAATAGCAACAAGAATAATACTAATAATAGGACAATAAAGAAGTTACCTCAAATTTGATGGTTTGGGGACCACTTCAAGAAATTAGTTTCCTAATGGTGGCCCGGATCTGTTTTCAAGAAACAGTTTCAAGATCCTGAATTGCGAAAACAACTGCGATGATAGAGGGTGCTATTAATAAAGGAGGTGTGACATGAGGTGCAGCCACTTTTTGGATTCTTTGTAGGGTTTTCAGTAGCCCGCTTAAATACCAGGACTTGATTGTGACCAGGCACGATTGTTTACCGAGAGCAGATCAGTCAAATGAAGCAGGGACCACAATGATTGCTGATTTGCTCAGCGTGCTGGTCCCGGTAAACGCCAAACAAGGCTGGAGAGACTCCCTACCCCCGGACATATTTGTTTTTCAGTGGCACAAAGACCCGCCATGCCCGCGCGCGTAAACCCGCGCGAACACAGGTGCAAATCAGCCCGATGGACGCAGTCTCATTGATCCAGCCAGTGAAAAGCCCCACGCAACCTTGCACAGGTCACCCTTTCTGCCAAGTGAAAGAGGGGCAGACGCGGCGAAGCTATCTTTAAAGCCAATTCTCCGAACCTGCCCATGCATCGGAATAAAGCTGCGATTCGTTGGGTTGACATGAGGAACAAACCCCGAAAGCGATCCAACAGTTCGAGGAACACTCGTCCAGGACCTGCCAGCCTTTTGGCAGCGTCAAGATCAGACAGGTGTTCGAGGGGTCCCAGCAGCCCCTTCAACCTGCAGATGTTCTGCTTTGACGAGGATGTCTAGAGCTCATGCACAGCCAACTCCCCTACAGGGACCCCCACGCGTCCCTCAAGGTTTGTTTTGGGGAACAACGCTCATTTGGGAGTGTCCCTTTGAAGATTCAATCTTTGCGCGAACCTCCGACAGACCCCTCACGGCTGGACGCTTCTCCATATGGCCGCCCACAAAGGCCATGAGGAGAGGGGGCAGGGGGCCTGCCAGACTTGTTCCCAGCCTGGCGTGTTCCTGGAATGCAGTGGGAACATTTGGGAACCCTTTGCTGGACCTCATTCACATGTCTGCCAACCCTTTGTGGAGGATCTCCCTGGAAATTCATAGAGTAGACCCATGTCAAGCCATGCATACCTTTCAAGATGTGCTGGATGATCAGTTTCAGAGCCAGCTTGACCACGTAGGAGCTTTGCGCGGCGATGTGTCAGCGGAAAGACTTTCTTGGCGTGGACCTGCCGGACAAGGACGCGGGGCATGTCAGTTGTTTATGGGGCAAGCGGCAAAATGTCCCTGTTGGCAGCAGCCATTCCGCACTTACGCCTCATGCTTAGTGAACAGTGTCTCGCAGCATGTGCAGGCTTTCGTTCTTGAGTGAGCTCCGAGGAGTTTTGCGCCACTGCACTTCACATCGCAGCAGGGAAGCGGCGCAGAGGGGCCCAGATCAGACATGGCTTTCTGACTTTGGGGGGGAAAGCCGACATTGAACCAGCCCTTCGAGTCAGCATCCCTCGAGGCGCTTCTTGCTGCAGTGCCATTGTGGAAAGCGGCAGATGCAAGCAGGCCTCCAGAATTTTGTGTTTGTGAGACGTGTCATGCTGGACAGTCTATCTCATCATTCTGTTCGGGACAATAGCTGATTTCCGCAAAGTTGTCCGGCGTTGAGAATCCGCCCGATTTCGGATTCTTATGTATTTATTTGCGGTTTGCTGTGCATTGTTTGTTTGTCTGGCAACACAGTTGTGTTTTTTTTGGCGCATGAGCTTTTTGTCCCTGAAGGTCAACTCGAAGGATATCAACGGTCAGACTGCCCTGCATCTTGCGGCTCTCCGCGCTGACAGAGAGCCTGGCACTCTGCACTGTTCAGTCATTGAGGAGACTTTGTCTTTTGCGCAAACGTTGAGGTCCTATGCGGCCATTGCTGCTCATCCGGATTGTAACCCACTGCTCCCGGACAAGCACGGCCGGCAGCTTCCTCGGAGCGAAGCGTGGCCAAGCGAAGCACATTCTCAGAAGCTTTCAAGTCATGTTTGCCCGAAACACCGTCTGGTTTCATTCTTGATACAGGATTGAACGAGGCGTGTTCCTTTGGCAGTGGGTCTCGGTGCTTCAATTTCATCTATGGCCATTGAAAGCTCGTTGCGTCCTTCCCAGAGCATGTCTTGGAGGTCGGCCGTGGAGTATGCTGCCGACCGCGGCCTCGAGGCAGATGATTGCCTCATGGGTTCTCTTTGGCTCACAAATCCCAAAGCACGGAGATCTAGCAGCTGGAACAGAGATTTGGTTTGCTCAGCACTGGTGACATTCACGCACTGCAGCGCACGTGCGTGTCAGGTGGATTGCCAAGTTCCAGGACAATCAACTTCTCGCCGGTATGCAGCCGATGATTGTGTGTGTGTGTATTTATTTGTTTGTTTGTTTGTTTGATTGCTTGCTTGCTTGCTTGCTTGCTTGCTTGCTTGCTTGCTTGCTGGCTCGCTCGCTCGCTCGCTCGCTCGCTGGCTGGCTGGCTGGCTGGCTGGCTGGCTGGCTGGCTGGCTGGCTGGCTGGCTGGCTGGCTTGCTTGCTTGCTTGCTTGCTTGCTTGCTTGCTTGTGTGTTTGTTTGTTTGATTGTTTGATTGATTGATTGATTGATTGATTGATTGTTTGTTTGTTTGTTTGTTTGTTTGTTTGTTTGTTTGCTTTGAGACATGCCACGTCCTGGAGGACATTCCGAGATCGAGATGTGAGCTGAAGCTGGCTGAGCCAGTGCGGATAGTTGCAGAATTCGTTGCAGGGTACATGGCACACTCACTGGCAGCTCGGGGGGCATAGCTCACACGTCGCACAGCTCGAGATTGAGATGGCCAGGCTTTGTTGAGGGTGGGCTTCTCCCGGCTACGTCTTTCAAGAAGACATGGCTGTCCCATGTGTCACTTGAAGTCTTGGGCACCGAGTCCTTCATTAGTGGCACCTCGGAGAAAGCTCGGGTCGGTCGAGCATTTGCACAGTCCCGTTTTGCTTACCCACACACACAGAGGGCCAAATGCTTACGTTCACACCGCAGCTTGTGAGCAGTCAACTGTACACACACGCACACACACACACACACCCACACCCACACCCACACCCACACCCACACCCACACCCACACCCACACCCACACCCACACCCACACCACACCCACGCACACGCACACGCACACGCACACGCACACGCACACGCACACGCACACGCACACGCACACGCACACGCACACGCACACGCACACGCACACGCACACGCACACGCGCACACGCACACGCACACGCACACGCACACGCACACGCACACGCGCACACGCGCACACGCGCGCAACGCGCACGCGCACGCGCCACGCGCACGACGACGCACGCACACGCACGCACGCGCACGCGCACACGCACACGCACACGCACACGCACACGCACACGCACACGCACACGCACACGCAAACGCACACGCACACGCACACGCACACGCACACGCACACGCACACGCACACGCACACGCACACGCACACGCACACGCACACGCACACGCACACGCACACGCACGCGCACGCGCACGCGCACGCGCACGCGCACGCGCACGCGCACGCGCACGCGCACGCGCACGCGCACGCGCACGCGCACGCGCACGCACGCACGCACACGCACACGCACACGCACACGCACACGCACACGCACACGCACACGCACACGCACACGCACACGCACACGCACACGCACACGCACACGCACACGCACACGCACACGCGCACGCGCACGCGCACGCGCACACGCACACGCACGCGCGCACGCGCACGCGCACGCACGCGCACGCGCGCACACGCGCACGCGCACACGCGCACACGCGCACACGCGCACACGCGCACACGCGCACACGCGCACACGCGCACACGCGCACACGCGCACACGCGCACACGCGCACACGCGCACACGCGCACACGCGCACACGCGCACACGCACACACGCACACACGCGCACACGCACACACGCGCACACGCGCACGCGCGCACACGCGCACACGCACACACGCACACACGCACACACGCACACACGCACACACGCACACACGCACACACACACACATGTCCAAATGTTTTCGTTCTTGTCACATGGTGCTCGGTCAACGGTGCTCGATCAACTGTGTGCACGTATGCCGCATGCCCAATTATTTAGATTCCCGCCACGATGCGTGGATACAAGTTAGTGTAGAAGTCAAATTTACAGGCTTCTGGTCGTGACCAAAGATAATTCCGACACTAACATTGAGGTCCGCTGTTTAGGCAGCTGACCAGCAGAGATGCCAACACTTTATTTCAGTTTCCATTGAAGGCGCAGAGGCTTACACCAAAACTTGGCCCGAAGACGCGAAGACACGAAGACACGAAGACACGAAGACACGAAGACACGAAGACACGAAGACACGAAGACGCGAAGACGCGAAGACACGAAGACGCGAAGACGCGAAGACGCGAAGACACGCATCTTCAGGGCTTCAAGGCTTCAGAGAGTCAGCAGGGCTTGGGCGAAGACACGAAGACGCGAAGACACGAAGGCACGCATCTTCAGGTCTTCAAGGCGTCAGGCTAAAAATGCGCCTGCTCTGTCAGTTTCGTATGTGTCGCTCGGAGTGTTTGAAAGCGGCACTTAGCTCAGCATAACTTTGAAGTTTTGGGTGTCAAGTTGGGGGGCGAACCCTTTAAGAAGGCACATATCTATATATATATATATATATATATATTTCTATAGATCTTCATTATGACGGTAGAAGCCAAACGTTGGTGTGATTGGGTCACAAGAGGGCGCGTTCTTGCCACACAACGCGTGCCCTGGCTCGCTGGCAGACACATTGCGAGCCATTTTGCAGCCGCAGCACATGCCAAACACGAGGCCAAGCTTTGGCCACATAGCGACAGTAGCCCTCTTCTGACAAACAACGAAGGCAAAGAGCTCACGTTGAGATACCCCACGTAAGCTTGATATCAAGACGTGGCGAAACCCAGACCCAGCGCTGGAAGGCTGCGCAAACAGCACCTTATGCTGCGCGATGGACGAGCCCATCTTCTTCACGGTGATTTCAAGCGAGGACCCAGACAGCCCGCTGCATTTCCAGCTGAGCCGCTTGGCCGGAGAGCGCACCGTGCATTCGAAGCCTTGACGTCGTGGTCCTGGCAAGGTGCGACAGATGACCCGCTGAAAGTGGGCCGAAACAAGAAATGCGGCTCGGCCCTATGGCTCGCATTGTGCGGGTCACAGCAAAGCCACGCACATTGCACGCAAGGAAGCAGAGATACTTGCACTGGCACGCACACTTCGCAGCCAAGGTGGCATAGTTGTGAACCAACCAGGGGTGTCCTGGGTTCACCTGGAGATTAAGTTTGCGCTTCGACCTCGGAGTCTGAGCCGCTCTCTTCCAAGATGTGGCCATGGGCAAAAGCCCGTACCCCCAGTGAGACATCCCAATCCCCACTAAAATAGGTTCTAAAATGTGTGGCGCACTATTGGTTTGACCCACAGCCATGTGTTCCTTTTGTCCAATTCAAATCGCCAGGCCGTCTGGCCTCTGCGTGCGGGATCTCTCCTCCAATGGCGTGGGCTTGCGGGAGCTGGGGACTGGCGTTCGCAAGGCCAGAGTAGGATGGACGTGTCCACGGTGCAATTGGTTCCTCGGAGATGGACATGTCCACGGTGCAATTGGTTCCATGGTGCGGGTATGGCAACGCTGTGAATCTTTCCCTGAGATCTCTTGAGATCAGGCAAGGATCACGCTTGGGTTTAGTTGGAGCATTTGAAGGATGATTCTGCATGTCCAAGCTCACGACGAAGCGCAAAACGACAGCTGTCCCGCTGTCCCTTCTTCATTCCGAGAAATTCCTATCATTTTGCAGGTCGAGAAAGAGGTCGACACCTCGTGTCTTGGTGCAAGGGAGAGCGTGTCTAACCTCGTTGTGGTCAGATCTGAGCTGCGTGCTGATTGTAAGGAGCTAAGCGGCTTTAGAATCAAATCCCTGACGCCGTCCAAAATGGTAAGCAACCCGTTCTGATGTCCATCAAGGATTTCTATTGAAATTGACACCATCGAGGCGACCTTCACTTTAGCAGTCGTGTTTTTTTCCTGTTTGTGAGGCTCGTCCCATGTCCCGAATTTCAGATGGACCAAATTAAGGCTTCCCTCTGGGGCCTCACTGGTGCTGCCACTTCGCGTGCGCCCAGCGCCTGGCCAGTCGGAGGAGCCCCTTGGCCCTGAGTGGTTCGGTCGGCGAGCGCCGAGAGGGCTTGGCGGGGCTGGGTGGTGGGGGGCTGTTCTTGTTGCCCCAAGAACTCCACCAACCCCGGGTAGGTGAAGGTCGGGTCTTGGGTGGACCGCTTGTGCGAAGACTCGTCATGGGCTTTTGAGCACCGACGCCTGAGGTCCCTTCAGACCCGCCTGACGTTCTGCATCGACGGGGATGAATCGCCCTCCAGCGAGCTGACAGAGTCCGAGGATTCTGGTTTCAACTTAGGAATCCGTTGTTTTTGAGGATACCCGAACAACACCAAAAAAATTGCGCTGCCTTGTTTGAAAGGGCAACCCACAGCAAAGCAACCTATTTGGGTTTGTCTCCAGATGAAGTGGCCATTGCGCAGGAGGCGCCCAAAGCGGAGCCCGAGGCGCGGAGCTCTGGTCGTTCTTGGGGCCGTTTTGTGGGGTTTTCCTCCATTTTTGGTTGGGCCCATTTTTGGGGCCATTTTTTGGGGCCATTCTTTTGTGGCCATTGGGTTTTAAGACCAAGAAAACAGCGTTGCCATTTCGGGCGTTCATTTCCGGATGAGACAAACCCTTTGTGGGGCTTGAGCAAGCTTAGAAGACCACACTGGAGTTTTGGGCGGCTCAGGAGCAGAAAGGCAAGAGGAAGAAGACTGAAGGGAAGGGGAAGGCGCACACATTCTTTGGGAGTGGGGCTGGTGTTGCCAGACTGTGACTTGGGATATGTCTGGTTTTGTGCGAGTTCTTCGTGGTGCGGGGTTGGGAATGAAGGAAAATGGGGGAGCGGCTGGTGTGATGGGCACTTGGTCATTTTGTCCTGAGCCGAAGCTCGGCTCGAGCTTAGCTGCGGCTTGCGGCCATGCGCAGCTAATGGCCCTCAGATCCTTCATCGGCGCGGTAGAGCGCCTCGGCTTTCAGAGTTTCAGCGTTTGGGCGCAGTTCGCTTGCAGTTTGCGAGTTAGGACTTGCAGAAGGACGAATCAGTGGGAGAAGCCGCTGCTGCTGTTGAGTCAAGCCCAACAAGACGAGCTACGGCCAGACGTCTTGTGCTATGGCTTGAGCATCAGCGCCTGTGAGAGAAGCCGGCAATGGCGATGGGCCTTGCATTTGCTGGCAGAGATTCCCAGAACCCACTTGCAGAACAACATCATCACTTACAACTCAGCCATGAGCGCCTGTGCCTCTGGCGAAGCATGGCAAATCGCCCTTGTCTTGCTTGAGGACTTGCAAAGGCAGCGCTTGCAAGCAGACACAATCTCCTACAACAATGCCATGAGCGCCAGTGCCCAGAATGGACAATGGCGTAGGGCTCTCTCCCTATTCTCTGACCTCGCAAAGAAGCGCTTGAGGAGCAACATCATCACCTACAACACCCTGATTTTCGCATGCAAACGCGGCCAGCAGTGGCAGTGCGCCGTGTACTTGCTGGCAGATGCACGGCGACAGCAGCTTCAAGCCGACGTGTCGCTTGTCTGGTTAGAGCTGAACGGTACTCAGCTAAGCATAGTAAATATCATATATGGGGTTCATCAAGAGAAAGCGCCTATGTGTGCACGTAAGCAGGCGCCAGGGCGAGCGCAAGAGAACGCATAGGGCGTGAGGTGCAGATTTCGTGGGACGGGCGCAGCGCTTTTGCAAGGTCGGGCGCAGATTTCGTGGCAGTTTTGCTCGAAGACCCTTCCACTTGTTGATTGCGGAAAGGAAGTCTCGCTGTGGCGCCACGCGGAATCGCACGAAACCCGCGAGCTTCAGATGCGCGCCACGCCACAGCCACAGAGACCCGACCCGCCCAAGCTCCGCAGAGGGTCTACTTTCGATGTTCAAAATGTGCACCGCGCCACAGCGGTTTCACGCAGCCAAAGTCCTCAGAGATTTCCACGTTTTTCGTCCAGCAAAGAAGCTACAAAAGCTCCCAGTGGCGTAAGAAAGCGTGAGGGCGAGGCGAAGGGCCTCACCACGGGAAGAGAGCTCCGGCAGCCCCCAGGGACGATAATCATGATTTGTGCATGTGGTTGTTGTTGTTGTTGTTGTTGTTGCTGCTGATGCTGCTGCTGGCACCTGTGCTTTCTAGTTGCTTCAAAGGCAAAGCAGAGGAAAACTGACGCCCTTAACAAATTGAATCGTTTTCAGGGTGTGAGCATAAGCAATTATCAATCAGCAACTCTTAAACACGGTGGTTGTAAAGGGAACCCCACAACAAACTGTTGTTATTGGGAGGTCACCTATTGCGAGACCATCTTATTTATGGTCCATTTGGGAGGGGTATGGGGAACTCACTAGATTTCCCACAAAAGAAACAGAAAAGGAGCACAAAAGGTAAGAAGAATAGCAAGAAGCATGAATTTACAACGGCAAAGAGAGAGAGAGAAAGTGTGTGTGTGTACACGAGGACGAAAGTAATCTTAGTACCAACGTGGTTTGCCCATAGCAACTACAGCTCCTAAAGAAAGCGCAAATTGAAAATGTGCTGCAACACAATATGTATCGTGTAATCCTAGATCCACTGCGGCATGTCCTAGAATTACCTATAGTAAACATTAGTAAAAAGAGAAGAAGTAGAAGACGGTAATTCTAATGTGTACTAAAGATGGATGGTAAAAAATCATCTAAACATTGTTGTACCGCCTGGTTCAGATATCAAGGTTAACTCCTGTAAATACGCTCTTGTATCAATTTCTAAACCTATACGTATGATGTCCCCAAACAAGACTTCCAAGAAGAGACATAGATGACATGGCAAAGGTCATTGGTTGCTTAGCAAAGATTATTGACTGTAAAATTTGAGAAACTCCCTTGGACATGACCCCAAATACAGGAATCATTGAAATGCAAGCTTTTGGATGTCCAAAGAACCCAGCTAAAAGTTGATGGATATAGGAGTTCCTCCAAACATTGGATCACATACAATTGTATTAGAATGAAGATCGCCTAACATCAAGAGAATTGTACCAGATAAGATAGTCATGCTAAATGTTAATAAAAACATGGAAGTTGTAGTCAAGAAAGATAGTGGACATAATGGGATAGTCTTTAGTATCTCAGATTTAGGATTGTTGTCCAACATTTAGGAGATGTAAGGCATGAAGATATGCCAGAAACTGCTGCTCCTAGCGTACGTTCTGTACTTGAGGGTGGCAAAATCATACGAAGTAACATGGCCAATGCGTGGGGCAACCTGGGCCAATTTCGGCCGCCTTTGTGAGAGGATCACTTACAACACCGCGCTGGGCGCATCGGAATGGATCATGGCCATGCAGCTCTTGGGGGACCTACTGGCTGGCCTCATTGAGGCAGAGTCTCGGCTGAAGGGCTAAAGCCGGGCAACTGCGGACTTACTTCTCCGCGTGGTGCGGTTGAAGCTGGTTTTTTTGTTGGGTGTTTCGTATATTTCGTTCGTTTGGTTGGTAGTATGTGTGTTGTACTTGGTTTAGGCAACTTTGAGGGCTGTTCGCAACCTAGGGCGTTTAGTCATAGCAGTCGGTCTGGGTGCCGGTGAAGGTAGTGTTTTGAGACACACGCAAACACGTAATATGTATATTGGTTCTTTGGTACGCTTGATTTTTATTTATTTTTTACAGGAAATGACTTTTTTGTTTCTGTTTGTTTTTTCCTTCTTTTGTTTTCCGGGGGTGGGTGCGCCTTTTAGGGGTGCTTAAGCAAACCCACTCTTCTTTTTGGCGAATGTTCTTGGACGGAGGACAGTAGCAGCTACATGTCCATGGTCAGCAAGTGTGGCGGCCGGTGGCCGCTTGCTTCTCTCCTTTTGAAACGCTACTTGCAGAGGAGCCGCAACATTAAGGTGCCAAACGCTGCTCTCAGCGCCTGGCACGAGGAGGAATCCTGGTTGCAGAAGCGAGGGGTTTCGTACTGGAGTCCCTTGTTGTAGGGGTGTCTTACTGGGGATAGCGGGTTAGGGATCGCCTCATTTTGAGGATCCCAGTATTGACTCTCTTAGGAGTGGCCTTGGGCGCTGCTGCTCCTCTCAGACCTTCCTCGCAGGCAAATGCAGTGCGACACGGTGGCTTGCAATGCTGCGCTTTCGGTGTGTCCAGATCAGCAGCCGGGCGGCAAGGAAGATTGGTCGTTTCCATGTCCAATGTTCGGATTTGTGTTGGCTCTTTCTGTTAGCATGCGAACTATTGGACAGCAATGCTGCTGCCTGGCTTGTAGCAAGCACGAACACTGACAGAGTCACTAGCTTGGCCAGCTGAGAGATTCCAATCCACACTATTGGCGTGTCTTTTTTACGAAGCTTCGTGGGAGGCAGTGGCCGGCTGGTGTTCAGCTCCTGCGCACCTTGAAGAGCCGCACCTTGCAAGGACCGGGTTTCGGGATGCGAGCTTCCGCAGCGCCATTCAACAGCCCAGTCGGCCCACGGGTGTAACACGTAAGGCGAAGGTCGGATTTCCAAGTGCCCTGAGTGGAGAGTCAGGAACTAGCATCACCTACACGTCTGCTGCCGTGGGCGAGTGGGCACAAGCCACACATCTACTGGAAGAGGCGGGGGACTTTCATACACAGAGTCCGTGAAACTTACCTTGTTTTGAGAGTAGGTTCAGACCCAAGGATAAGAGAAAAGAGATGGAAAGATGGGATGGTTGACGGGAAGATTCATAAGGTGAGATAAGGTAATGATTCATCAGGTGACACAGTGTAAAGATAATGGGTGATAATGTGATCCTCCTTCCTCAACTTCATATCTATTAGCTGTCAATTGACTAGAATTCTTGAAGGTAGGTAAGGACTAAGAGAATTGGATGTTAAGGAAGTAACTTAGCTTCTGAATCAACTTTCATTAACTTGTGTGTCTTGTCTCACATTAACCTTTCATTATCTACCCGTCCTACCTTGAATAATTTCTGGATTACAAGCCTTTATGAATCCTATAGTCAACAGCTGTCTCATGGAAGATTGAATGGGTTGGTGATCAAGGATTTTATTGTTAGGCGAGGCATTAGAAAGAGAAATATATGAAAGTCTTATAATAAGATCTTAATAACGTCAACAAAGGTAAATCTTAAAAATACACCAACAATAATAAAACTGTAAAATACTTCTAAGATCCACTTCTATAATTTGCTTTGGGATGGTTATTTGTCTCTGAAGTGGATTATTAATAAGAAATCAATTATATTTTTCTTTTTACCTCTCTTTCATCTTTCCTTTCTCCTTCTCTTTTCTTTTCTCTTGAGAACATGTGTTTTGACTGCCAGTATCCTTGGAGGTCCAAGTCCTAGGCATCCAGAAGAACTTGATACTGGAGAATTCGGTCACGAGTGCGTGTGAGAGAGGACTGGGGGAGACATTTGTTCAAAGACTGTTGCACAAGTTGAGCGTTGATTCTCATGTCCGTCATGTTGCTTATGTGGACATGTGTGAAAACGGCATCACCTCGTCTCTGCAACTTGAAAGTCGCAGGAGGGCATTGGCAACAAGCCCTCCAATTTCTTGATGAGGGGACTCCGAAGGATGCAATCTCTTGCCACTCCACAATCAGTGCTTGTGAGAAGGGCAACGTGTGGAATGTCGCTACGCTACTTGGCAGGTTTGTCCAACGCCAGTCTCGTGCTGTAGAGATGTCTGGAGTCGAGCCAGCGCAGTGGGCCTCAGTAGCCGGCATTAGCGTTTATTGAAATTATCCGAGGAGCCTGGCCCAAAGACTAGAACGAAGCAGCCTACAGCCGAATCTCATCACCTTCAACTTGTTCTTGAGCGCCTGTGAAGCTTGGCTTTGCTTGCAACAGTCATGGCAGTGAATTATTTGTGTTTTGCTTGTGCGGCTTCTGGCGCATCGAGTTTTTTTTTGTTTTTCTTTTTTTTGTAAGGAGAAGGGCGCTCAGTGGAGTACGGCCACTCGCCTGGCTGCCGAATCCAAAACCCGCGACGTGGTGAGCCTCAACGCGGCCATCAGCGCCTGCGAGAAGGGCCTGCGATGGCCCTCGGCTTTGGAGGTCCTCGCACGGCGAGATTCGCTGCAGGGCACCGCCATCACCTACAGCGACCCGTCTTCCTTTGAAGGGGAAAGTGGGGGTTGGGCTTTTTGTGGGGGTTTGAGATTTTATTCGGGGCTTCTCGGTTGCGCGGATTCGCCATCCTTTCATTGCATGGCTGACATTCCCAAGCTTGGCCAACTCCCAAGTTGATCCGAGGTGCAGCGATTAGTGCCTGCAGCCAGTGTGAGCAATGGCAGGGAGCGCTGGGTTTGCTCACACTCTTGGAAGGGCAAAACCTTCGTTGCGGAGCGGCTACGCATAGCGGAATTGTTGGAGCATGTGAGGTGACGGCTGGAGTGTTTCAGAGGAGTTATGCCGGCGTTGCAAGCTTTCGTTGCGAAAAGCTGCACCGAAGCGAAAAGCTGCACCGAAGCGCCTGCAGAGCTGCCTCAAGGCATGTCATCGAAACTGCGTTTCTGCATTGCAACTGTGGCACGGATGCAGGAGAAGGAGAAAAAAAGGAAAGTCAAGCACGAGCCTGTGATGAACTTATCAAGTTTTGTCTTGAGGCGTTGCAGAAGGGTTTGATGCAATGCACGGGCACTCAAGCCATCCTTTGCCTTTCTGGCAAAGTGGGCAACATTGTCGCCGTGGTTCTGCACCGAGACCCAATCGCTCAACAGTATTCACCCCCAAAAAAGTGGCATGTTCCCATGCGCTGCAAGGCGCATAGCTTCCGAGACATACATTTGCTCGCGATACTGGGCTGAGACCCAGGTAAACTGCAAAGCGCCGTCTCAGCTCAGGACTTCACAGCGGGGCAGTTTGTCCGCGTCGCCGCTTCTCTGGAATGTGCCGCTTCTCTGCTCAGCCTGTGTGATTGCTGCTCAGGTTGGCTTGAAAGCCAAGGGCGAGTTGAACGGCAAGATTGGCTTGCTAGTGGAATGGGACGAGGCAAGCCGCCAGAAATCAACTGTAGCGGTCAACAGCCAGCATGCAGGCTACTCACCGATTTCAGCCTTGCTAGGCAGCTCATGTCAGAAAACTTCTGTCTGATGAACAGGAGATGGTGTGAACATGCTACATCCTGAGCTGCATTGGCAGATTTCTGAAAAGACACGAATCTGAAACATGGCGGTATCTCTTACACTTATAAGTACATAGCAACCCCTTAAAAATGGGCGGTCTTCCGTTCAGAACGACCCCAAATGGGTGCCCTCCATTGAAGAGACGCCCGCCCACTTTAACGAGGAACGCCCTCAAAAATGGTCGCTGGAAACAACTCCCACAGGCCAATGAAGCCCACGAAGTCCACGTCTTCGGCTTTGAAGCCCGACTCCACCTGCCAGGCGAAAGGCTACTGGAAGGTCCGTATGGAGGACGGCTCCGGCAAAGCCTTTCGGCCTGTGCCTGTGGCTGAAGTGGCGGAAGTTTCGCTCCAAATTGGGGTTGCTAAGGGTGGGTTTGCCTTGCCCTCAAAGACAGGTCCGTCGGAACCTCGAAAGGCAGGTTTCACGGGGCCCCGGTCCCAAACTTTTTCGGCCGTGTTTTGCTTGGGAACAGCAGGGCGTTAAGGCCACGGGGAGGTTTGCAAGGGCATTCCAGCCATGGCCCAGGGATTGTATGTTGCTTCCTCGAGGTTCCTCGGCTGGCTGAGGGTGAACCAGAAGGATGGCTTCAAGGGCTTTGAGCCATGTGGCCATGGGGCATAACCTATGGCTCCATTTTGGGGTAGGTGTTCGAACCTATTTTAGTGGGGATTGGGATGTTCACTGGGGGGACGATTTGGGTTTTGAGCCATGGCCATGCGCCAAGGCCAACCTGGAGCCACACGCTGTGAAGAACAGCCAGCAGCCTCCTGGCGCGCCGCCGGAGACTGGCACCAGCGCCTCCGCAGCGGAAGGTTGGCAGGGCATTTTGTAGCACCGACCCCAAACAACCTTTACTCCCCCGCAGATCAACATGGAGCCAAAAAGGGCATCTCCCAAAAGAGTATTCCTCTAATAATTCATGGTGTTTGGGGGGTTCCATGTTGATCTGCGGGCGGTGTATCCTAAAGGGGGGGGGGGGGGGGAGGGTTTTCGGAAAGATCCTGAACTTGTTGCCCGCCGCTTGGTCGAGTGCGAGATGGCAAACTGGCAAACGGCCTTGACCAGAAGACCTTTGCAACGGATCGTTGCAGAGTCTTGCTTTGCGAACGAAATTAGGGGGAGACAGGAGAGATCTTTTCTATATGAACCTTGTGGTTTCTACGTGCATCGCAAATGCACCCGCTTGCCTTTCGCCTTTTGCCGGCCCGGCGGCTCCGGCGCTTGTGCCCAAGGCACCGTGCCGCCGCCGCCCCCTGACGAGCCAGCGCCAAAGCGCCGGGGCCAGGACGCTGGCGGCCCGCTTCTGTGACAGCCAATTTGTGGATGGACCTGTCAGAAAGGCCAAGAAGATCAGAAGATCAGGAAGATCAGGAAGACCAGGAAGACCAGGAAGACCAGGAAGACCAGGAAGACCAGGAAGACCAGGAAGACCAGGAAGACCAGGAAGACCAGGAAGACCAGGAAGACCAGGAAGACCAGGAAGACCAGGAAGACCAGGAAGACCAGGAAGACCAGGAAAATCAGGAAGACCAGGAAGACCAGGAAGACCAGGAAGACCAGGAAGACCAGGAAGACCAGGAAGACCAGGAAGACCCGGAAGACCAGGAAGACCAGGAAGACCAGGAAGACCAGGAAGACCAGGAAGACCCGGAAGACCAGGAAGACCAGGAAGACCAGGAAGACCGAGCACGAGCAAGCTGGGAAATACAGGAAGCACGAGACCATGTAGAGCAAATGCAGGGGCGCAATAAGCATACGGTGACTGCA